ATCGTAGTTGGGATGGACGGTGGACTGGATCACCTTGCGGACAATGCCAGGATCCCGGGAGGATCTGTCGATTTGGAGCAGGCGGATGGTGATCTGATCTCTGTTGCCGTGGATACAATGGGCGGCGGTCAGGACGTAGCGATCGTTGATCAGGGAGCCGCCGCAGAAGAGACGGGGGTAGTAACGACCCTTGACCAGCTGGGCGGTCCAAGGATACTTGTTGGAGTGCACCTGCTGGCCGCCCACAATGCGATTGACATTCGGGGTGCCGCAGACTGAAAAATATTTTTTTTGGGAATTTTCGTTGGGTTAATAACTTGATTTTAAACGTGAAACTTGGTTAATAAATATTTCTGTATACTCGTATGTACTCATCATACGTTTTATAACTCAATGAGTACCAATAAAAATTGTCAGAAGTTTAAATGATATCACAAGTTTACAACGGATCAGAAAAAATACCACAGATATTTAGTTTAATATGTCCGCTTCAGTTCATGTAAATAATATAATAAAAGTTGAGACTTCAATTTCGAAAGGTACATTGAAATTTTTGTTTATATGGTTTATCAATATGATTTTTTTCTATCCATTTTGCAAATGATAAAAAAAGGTGTTCTGTACTAAAGAAAAATAGTAATTTACATACCTTTTACCAAAAATGATCCTATTTTTCTGTGTTCTGACTAGATTTGATATATATTTACATTGATCTTAAACCAAAAAAATTGATTTTTTTTAAACTTTTAAGTGTTGTTCTAGTTAAAATTTCACTTGTGCTGTCTTGAGTGTTATTTAAACTTTATTTAAAGGTTATAAAATCAAGTTTGACTGCTAATGATGCCTAATTTCTTTCTCTGCAGGGACTCTCAATACTCACAGCAGTTCTGCTTGGTGGTGCACGTGTTGCGGTTCTTCACTGGCCTGGCACGGAGCTCCTCTGCAGGATCGACCACATCCACCACATCGGCGAATTGCTGGGCGAGGGTTTGTTGATGGGGAGCCTGGTACTGGTACTGGGCCAAAGTGAGGCTAATGCCCAGCAGCAGGAGCGGCAGGGCCAGGTAACTGCGCATCTTGTCCGGAGTTTACTTCTGAGGAAAGTGACAGAGTGGTTTGCCCAACGCCGGCTACTTATAGTCGCGAATCGGATCGCGATCAACTCGATCGCATCTTTTAATAAAACTAAAAATATGAATGTTTTAATGGTCTCTTTCTTTAGCTTTTCTTTCTTTCTCCGCTTTCTTTGTTTGGCAGCCAGCGCCTTATTTGCATAACACTTTATAGCGCCGCACACACGCTCACCTTGCGGTTCTCGAGTGCGGAGGGTTTTGTATTTTTGGCTCTGTACAAATCATCATTTTCATCCAGAACAATGTGCCAAAAGGGCAAATTAACTTTTTAATATCATTTAAATTACACACTTACGGGAGGTTTTCAAACGAGTAATGCGAATAAAGTGGGTTATTGGAAATGGTCAATTGGAGAAGTGGAAATGTTTGTTGGAAGAGGGGCCAAACACGAAACTAGCAAGATCATCGAATGACTTTTATTTTCTACCATCAATAGATTTTAGATAAAAAGTTAAACAGAATATACATATCAATTACAATTTAACTAAATATTAAATCCAAATATAATAAATTTAAAAATAAATTTAGAACTAAACTTTGGTATTCATATTATACCTGGGTTTCTTTTAACTAACCATGATATTTACGTTGAAGGATGGCTTACTAAAATGTATAATAAAAAAAAAAATTTTAAGTCTACCATTTTATAATGGATATTTTTTTCAAAAGAGTATTTAAAATTCTTCAAACTTCAGCCAGATTTACCCTTACAGCTTTGCATATTCATGAAAGTGGAGCAAACTCATGCGAGTTCACCACTTTGCAGTTCGCCTCCGCTCCCCGTCGCTTTTTTTAATGGACTTTTAATGCGCATCTGGAGAGGCTTAGGCATCGTCATCATCGACAGCGCCTCTGACCCGACGGATCTGGGTTCTGACCAAAAAAAAAAGATCCAAAATAAACTCGGGCGCTGAGTTGGCGAATTCTGGCTTCCACTCGAGTGTCTCTTTCACCGCGGCACTCGATCGAATCGAATTGCGATCTGACCGGCATTGCAGCATAAATATCCTTTAAGTGCCGGTTATCCGGTATCATCATTAACCGGAGGCAAACGCCCGCTTTCACGCTGCCTTGCAGTTGCGAATAATTTATAAGGCTTTGCGATGGGGGTTTGCTTTTCGGCATAATTTACAAAACGCAACCAGAACCAGGGACAAGTTATTCCTCCAGCTCCTCGATCATATTTCTTTGTGTGGAATGTCGTCGCTGCCCTCTTCTTTATTCCCGGACTTGGATTGCTTTCGAAATTGATATGCCCGAGGGCCCAGTGTCGTCCATCCAAACGCCCAAAAAATATAAATTAATAAAAGCAGCGCGTTGAAAAATTGCGTGCAGTTTGAAATTATGCAACATGTGGCACTTACATGCATACTAAAAAAGGAGATAAATAAATTATGCGAGAGCACAAATTGGTATGGAATAATAACGATTGCGATTTAGGAACTGTCGCTGACCTACTATGACAGACATAAATCTGCCAAAAACCCATTAAAAATGATAGATTTAGGAACTGTCCCAGGCTTATTTAACATAAGTGTATACCTTGCTACACATATCCAAGTCGCCAAAAAGCTAATAGATTGTTTCATTTGGCTTCCCCACATAAATAACTTTTACTCTTATGCAAACCTTAAACACATGCAAATGTAGGCAGCTTTAGAAATTTGTTTCTTTCTCGCAATATTAGCATAATTTATAAAAGCCACAAACTTGGCCCAGACTCATTAGTTAACAGCACAACTTAATCATAGAAAGCATCGGCGAAATGCAAATGCAGTTCCCGTCTAATTGTTGCAATTGTAATGGCCAGAAAAAGAACAATGAAAAGATGGAAGATTTCAACATGGTCATTATGCTTTCAGCAGGCGAAATTCCAGAATTTACCCATCTTTTACCCCCCTTGGTGGGCGTGGCTGAGTGACAAACACGCAGTATCTTTTATACATAGATGCGATGCAGATCATTGAACCAGACTGGCAAACAATCCAAAAGACCGAGGATGCCAAACTGTAACCCAAGTTAGAAAGGTTGAATGGCATGCCATTCACTTGCTTTTTCTGCTTTTCGCCCGGTGGCAGTTGCCCGTCAGAGTCACTCAGTCAGTCACTCATAAATTTGCATAAGAACTGAATTGCATTGCATTATCTAAGCGGCAGTTGTTGCAGTTGCAGTTGCAGCATTCAGCATGCAGCATGCAGTTTTTCAGCTGCAGTTGTTGCCGCACTTATCTCGGCGGTAGAAACAATCACGGCAAAGGCAAAGATTTTAATTATTGTGTGTGACGGCGACGACGACTCCAGCTGGGAAGAAGTCGGAGAAAGATGTCGAGTGAGAATAAGAGAGAGAACCCAGAATTGCCCATGCACTGGGAGAAAAAACCTAAGCGAAGAAAAAAAGATAGAAAAAAAATGAATCCATTAATCCAATTTCGCGATATGTATCTACAAAGAAGCAGCAAAGAAATAAAGATAGAAAAAAATGAATCTATTAATCCAATTTCGCGATATGTATCTACAAAACAAATTAAAAGAAATAGTAAAAAGACATTTAAATAAATTTTTAAATTACTAAAAATACTATGCAGTTTCTGGTAATATTTCTCTACCATTTATTTTCGTTTGGTTAGTCATTTGTTAGTCTCTTTAATGTTGTAAGTTAATACCCAATTATGGAACTACATAGTACTTATAAAAAAAGAAGTTTCCCAATATGTAGGTATGCAATATCTCTTATAGTTATAGATATATATAACTTAACTGAGTAATATTCTTAAGAAATATCATTTAAAAAATGTAAAACGAAAGTCAAACTCTTTATAAACTTAAGATACTAAGACAGCTTTTTTCAGTGCGGTCTGGCAGACATCTGTCTTTGAATTCTCAGACTGACTCGGAGTCTGCACTATGTCTTTGCCTGATGTGCTGCATTTGATAACTGCCAGCAATGAAGTCTTAGACCCTTAGATAATGAAAAGGAAGCCAGTCTTGAGTCTGGTGCACTGTAATTCAAATTAGTACCAGGCCGGCACGAAGAAAAAAAAAAAGCCCAGAAAAACAAAGAATAAGGAAGGAGAAGAACGGTCGGGAAGACTCGTCTTCGGCTACCGGAGAATCGGCCCCTGCAGTGCCAACTGGCAACATCTTCTTCCTCAATGACATTAATTCATTTCGTATGCAAAGCAATCAGTGAACTCTTCTCCTCCAGAACCCGCTCGTCGGCTTGGCAATTAGAAAAGAGTTGGAAAATTGTATGCGGCTCGGCTCCAGCTTGGACTTGGACTTGGATTTAGATTTGGACTTGGTCTCGAAGTCTGGCGGAGTCTGTTGGAGTCTGTTGGAGTCTGGCTGGGGTCTGACTTTTCCGGCTGGCACTGCGCACTGATTTGCATTGCACGATTCTCAACTTAATTTAACATAAAGTAAACAAGCGCAGTTAACAAGCCAAATACAAGCCATGAGCGTGCGGGTGCCGGCTATCCAGCTCTCCAGCCATCCAGCTCTGAGGTCCAGACCCAGACCCTCCATCTGCATCTCCCAATCCCAGTGCCAATCCCTCAGCCTGCCAAGGGCCCAAGACCATCCATGTATGCCCTCCCATTCTCCTCTTCTGGGGCTGCTGTCGTGTGACGTGTTGTGAAAATTCTAAAATATTTCGCCCCTGCCGGCCCAGCTTTCTCACAAGTCTACGCCAAACGCGAGACACTTTAAAAGTGCACTGTGGTCTTGGGGTGCTCAAAAAAGGAATCATAATAAAATAATAAAATCCAAAATAAATCATTTCCTAAAAACATTTATGGAAAACTCTTTCTTATGTTTTAGATACAATTAACATAATTATTTTTAATATTTATATGAATATCTAATGACATATTATGCTTGGTTTAGTAAGAATCATTTTCTTTTTTGATATTTCTTTATAGCTTTAAGGAAGTATTTTAAAGTGCTTGCACATTTTAAAGGCGAAATTTAATTATAAATAATATTTTAATGCTTTCCATTGGGACACAAAGAATGTACTTCAATTTCAACGAGTTCGTATCCTGGTGGCAATTCGAACTCTGGAATTACTACGCGATGTCCGTCTTGTAGCTCACAAGGATTCTTTGTGGTCTTAGCCGGTGTAGGACGTTTAGTTGGACGGGGACGAGGAGGAGGAGGAGGAGCAGCAGGACGGGGACGAGGAGGAGGAGGAGGAGGAGGAGGAGCAGGACGAGGACGGGAAGGAGGACGTATCGGCACCGCAGGTCGATCAGGTATGTAGGCAAAATGAGAATGTGGGTTATACGAGCGGATCGTTTGAAAATGATGATAAATTTCATTTGGACAATCGGTTCTCAGCAGTTGCTCCAAAAGCTTGAACTGCTCTTTTGTGCTCTGTAGTATAGAAGACCCATAACCCAGTTTGTTCAAGCTTTGACTTACAGTTTTGGCCGACTCTGTAAAAAAAGCGAGTTACTTGTATATATAAAACAATATATTTACCAAGGTCACCTTCTACTTGAATCGAGCTTTAAAGTTAAAATAGTTAAACCATTACTAATATAGGCGATTGAAGAAATTTAAAAAACAAACCCATTGGTACATGACTGCTGATGAATGAAGAGGGACATGTGCTTGGCTTCTAGTTTTAACAACTGAATGTCGATTTGATTAAAGAACTTCGTAAATAACTTATTATCCTTAAAAAGATAAAGGTTAAAAAAGTATATATTTCTTAAAAACTTTTCTTACCTCGGACTCATAGTTATTAAGACAGCGCCCTCGTGGCACTAAATAGAATAATATTACAATATAGTACCATTTGCACATTTCGTGCAGTTTCTGGAAATTCGGTAAGCTAACTGAGCCAAAAAATACTGCCTAATATGTTTTTCTTGAAAACGTATTTTCTCTGGTTTAATAGTGAAACAAAATCGATTTTCCGTATCTAATAAATAATTAATTTGCCTACTGAAAGATAATTATGTTATGGATCCGGAGAGATTTTCCGATGCATATTTTATCCTATTAGCTATTTATCTTGGAAAATGTTTTCTAATGGTACTCAAGTTCTAAAACTATTTCGAAATTTAGTACAGTGGCTTGCAGCCGTAAGTAAGTACACTATTTTGATGTAAGAATAGAGTTGATATTTTGAAATACTTGTATAAAAATATTAAAAACAAGTCGTTTTTCATTTATTGTATTTTATTTTTTCGCCTTCACCCGAAGGTGTATTTATTTTGTAGCTGGTATAGCTTTGTATAGTTTTCTCTCTTGTTTTAATTAATAATGGTGTTCTACGTATATAAGTATACAACATTTTTTCGCATTGTTGGTATTGACGAAAACTTGAAGACATTACGCTGGTTTTTATTTATTATTTAAGATTTACCAGAAAATACTTGAACTACGTTAAGATTCTTCAGCCCAGAGAGGTCTATACCTGATGGCATGGAATTTGGAGGAGGAATAAGGGGTCCTGGTGGTGCGGGTTTCCATGGAGGTGGATTTGGGGGGATACCTGATTCAATGGGTGGACCCCAAAATGGAGGTGGCGGTAGTCTTGGAGGTGGATTTGGGGGGATATCTGGTTCAAAGGGTGGATGCCAAAATGGAGGTACAGGTTGTCCTGGAGGTGGATTTGGGGGGATATCTGGTTCAAAGGGTGGATGCCAAAATGGAGGTACAGGTTGTCCTGGAGGTGGATTTGGGGGGATATCTGGTTCAAAGGGTGGACGCCAAAATGGAGGTGGTGGTAGTCTTGGAGGTGGATTTGGGGGGATATCTGGTTCAAGGGGTGGATGCCAAAATGGAGGTACAGGTTGTCCTGGAGGTGGATTTGGGGGGATAACTGATGCACAGGGTGGACGCGGAACTGGAGGTGCAGGTTGTCCTGGAGGTGGATTTGGGGGGATAACTGATCCACAGGGTGGACGCGGAACTGGAGGTGCAGGTTGTCCTGGAGGTGGATTTGGGGGGATATCTGGTTCAAAGGGTGGATGCCAAAATGGAGGTACAGGTAGTCTTGAAGGCGGGTATGGAGGGATAACTAATTCAAAGGGTGGATGCCAAAAGGGAGGTGCAGGTTGTCCTAGGAGTGGATTTGGGAGTATAACTGGTTTAAAGGGTGGACGCCAAAATGGAGGTACAGGTAGTCTTAGAGGTGGACTTGGGGGGATAGCTGATCCACTGGGTGGACGCGGAACTGAAGGTGCAGGCTGTCCTGTAGGTGTATTTGGGGGGATAACTGGTTTAAAGGGTGGACGCCAAAATGGAGGTGTAGGTTGGCCTGGAGGTGGATTTGGGGGGATAAATGGTTCAAAGGGTGGACCCCAAAATGGAGGTTCAGGTTGTCCTGGAGGTAAATTGGTAGGTATCACTAATCCTGGAGGTACAGGCAATCCTGGAATTGAAGGTGGGGCAGGAAGAGTTCCAAGTGTAAGCCAATCTGGAGGATCAGGTTGTCCTTGAAGTGAATTGGTAGGTATCACTAATCTTGGAGGAGCAGGTAATCCTGGAAGTGAAGGTGGGGCAGGAAGAGTTCCAAGTGTAAGCCAATCTGGAGGATCGGGTTGTCCTTGAAGTGAATTGGTAGGTATCACTAATCTTGGAGGTGCAGGTAATCCTGGAATTGAAGGTGGGGCAGGAAGAGTTCCAAGTGTAAGCCAATCTGGAGGATCAGGCTGTCCTGGAAGTGGATTTGGGGGTATAATATATCCAGGGGGTGAAGGCCATACTAATTTTGAAGGTGGGGAAGGAAAAGTTCCAGGTGGATGCCAAACTATAGGTGCAGGTGGTCCTGGAGGTAATACTGGTGGTGCAGGCCATCCTTGATTTGGGGGTGAGGGAAACAGATTTCCAGGTGGCTTTAGATGTTTTCCTACTCTGTCAAGCCATCCTGCACTTGGGGAGAACAGATTTCCAGGTAGACCCCAAACTGACTGGGGATTCCCAGCAATACTCTTTGGCATGGTTGGATATGTTCCATTGGTTGGTAAAGGAACTATGATGTTTGTTTTGATACCAATTGTGCAATTCATCATCAAAGTCATTTGCCCATTTCCAGTCGTATAATATTGATTTAAGGGAATGCAATCTGGAAAGAAAATTGTAGATTTGCAGTTTGGTTTTGGGATTTGGTATTAGATTTGGATTACGTGTAGGGTTTAGGGGACTGTTGGTAGTCTGTATCATCCGATTATAGTCTTCAAGGAGTTTTTCATTATATCCCATTTTTAACTTCTCCTCTGCGAAGGTTGGATATATTCTATTGGTTGGTAAACGATCTGTAACCCATCTAGGACGCTTAGCTGAATGACGATGATTTGGTGGAGGTGGTGGAGGTGGTGGCGGTGGTGGAGGTGGAGGCGGTGGCGGTGGAGGTGGTGGTGGTGGAGGTGGTGGTGGTGGTGGACGGGGACGGGGACGGGGACGAGGAGGGGGAGGAGGAGGAGGAGGAGGAGGAGGAGGAGGAGGAGGACGAGGAGGAGGAGGAGGAGGACGAGGAGGAGGAGGAGGAGGACGGAAAGGTATATAGGCAAAATGAGCATGTGAGCTATATGAGCGGATCATTTGGAAACGATGATACACTTCATTCGGACAGTCGGTTTCCAGCATTAGCTTCAAAAGCATGAACTGCTCTTTTGTGCTCTGCAGTAGAGAAGATCCATCACCCTGGTTATTCAATCTTTGACTTACAGTTTTGGGCGAGTCTGTGGAAAAAGCGCGTTACTTGTATATATAAAACAATATATTTACCAAGATCACCTTCTACTTGAATCGAACTTAAAATTTAGAATAGTTTAACAATTAGTAAACGAAGCAATCAAAGAAATTAATAAAACAAACCCATTGGTACATGACTGCTGATGAATGAAGAGGGATTTTTGGTGTGCTTCTAGTTCTAGTACCAACAAGTCGATTTGTTCGAAGAACTTCGTAAATAACTGCTTCTCCTTAAAAAGATATGTTTAAGAAACCTTGTTGTATAGATTGAAATCGAAATGTAAATTTACCAATGAATCATTGTTTTTAAGACCGTGTCCAAGGGGCACTAAATAAAATAATATTACGATGTAGTGCCATTTGCACATTTCGTGCAGTTTCTGTAAGTTCGCTTAGCTAACTGACTAAATCACTAGCTTAATATGTTTTGCCTTAAAATTCAATTTCTCTGGTTTAATTCTGAAACAAAATGGATTTTCCAAATAAAACTTTTGAGTAATTTTTTTTTTCAGAAAACCAAACACATTATAATTTCTAAGTGGCAATAATGAAGCCATTTCGAAATTGGTAAATAACTAGGCTTTTTACTACTGACAATGTTTTTAATGATATTAAAATTTGTACGGCTTGACAAAGTTCTTTTCAAACATAAATAAATAAGTATCTTCTTGATGTAAGAATAGAATTTATATTTTTAAATACTTGTATGTAAATATTAATAAGAAATAAAAATATTACCAAAATCGTTTCCTTTATTGTTACAAACATTTTAATGGTTTTTTCTTAGTATTATAGGATATAGGGCTTTACTTAATCTTTCGATTTTTTACTTGGATCCCTTACTTTCGTTCTTATTAAGTTGTACTATATTTATATTAAGATTCAGAAAGCCAGTGGGATTCCACCCTTCTTTTGAAGGATTCCCAACTGGTTGTGGTCCTTGAGGTGGTCTCCATTCTGTTGGTGCTGGTGGTAGTACTCCTGGAGGGGATATTGGCGGTCCTGGTGGATATACAACTGGTGCTGGTGGGCCTTGTGTTGGTCCTTGAGGTGGACTCCATACTATTTGTGGTGGTGGTGGTACTCCTGGAGGGGATATTGGCGGTCCTGGTGGATATACAACTGGTGCTGGTGGGCCTTGTGTTGGTCCTTGAGGTGGACTCCATACTATTTGTGGTGGTGGTGGTACTCCTGGAGGGGATATTGGCGGTCCTGGTGGATATACAACTGGTGCTGGTGGGCCTTGTGTTGGTCCTTGAGGTGGACTCCAGCATGGTGCTGGTGGTGGTGGGCCATATGTTGGACCTTGAGGTGGACTCCAGCATGTTGGTGCTGGTGGTGGTACTCCTGGAGGGGAAATTGGTGGTCCTGGTGGATTTCCAACTGGTGGGCCATATGTTGGTCCTTGAGGTGGACTCCATTCTGTTTGTTCAGGTACTTCTGGAAAGGGAATTGGCGGTCCTGGATATCCAACTGGTGGTTGTACTTCGGGTGTACCCCAATACACCGGGTATGGATAAGGGTACCATACATATTGTAGACATGTTGAATAGGCAGGAGCAGGTGGGGTACATTGCACAGGTATATAAGCAAAATGTCCAGTTCGATAATATGACGATTCCATACTATTGCCATTATTATTTAAACCGGCTCTACAGCTAGCTTCAAAAATTTGCTTTAATAACTTGAAGTACTTTTGTGCATTTTGCAGTAGTAAAGAGCCATTAGTCTGAAAATTAGAGCCTTGACTCCGAAAAGTCTGTATAAAATATCGACATTACTCTAAATGAATGTTGTGTGCTTACCAACTCCTTCACCTTGTAGTTGAAGAAAGCTAAAATATAACAGAGAAATGAAAAAGATCAGCGATTGCATGCACTTTTCAACAAACCTTTCGTTACATGACTGCTGAGAAATCCCAAAGGATTTTTGGTAAGTTTCAATTCGCAGAAGTATGTCTTCCATTTCTTTAAGCACCTATAAAAGGCTAATTAGTAACATGTGTATAATTGATGTGAGCCGGACTTACTGAAGAAAATTCATTTATATTGCCGTGGTTATGTGGCACTAGAAGAAAAAAAACTATTATCAACCGATTCCATATGAACATTTCTCGTAATCTATGAAATGCCAAAAGATAAAATGAACCGATAAATTATATTATACTAGGCTTTTATTTAAACCAACATTTTGTTTAAATGTTAATTCATTATTAACGTCTAACAATGACGTTTAGACACAGTTCACATTTATAATCGCTGCAAATGAAAATTAATTTTACGTACTAAGAAAGCGTACGTAACGATAATAAACTATAGGGATACGCAAATATTATTTCATTAAGTATACAAAATGTTGGATATTATTACTCCTTTAAATGTATTGTATGTACATTGTACAATATTCAAATGCTCCGAGCTTCCTCTTTGATTTTCATTTGAATAAAATGGTTTTGAATCAGTACTACTTATGTGAGGTAATACTATTATGGTTCTCTTGTATTAATATTTGGTAAAAAATTCAATTTGGACAAAGATTCTTACAGTTTTTTGTCCCAGCACTAACACAAAAATAGTTTTTGCTATTAAATGCGAGAAAATGTCACAATTTAAAATTTGGAACTCCATTAATAATCAAAACAATGGTCAAACTAATACTATTGAAAACGTATTTTTCTTAAAGACTCTAGGTCGACTTTTTTTTACTATTTAAGACTTACCGGGATATACTTGATCTACGTTAAGATTCTTAAACCTAGACAGATCTAACCTGATGGTATGGAATTTTTAATTCCGGGTGGGCGCAATCCTGATCCAGTTGGTGCGGGTAGTTCTGGAAGTAGATTTGGGGGTATCATTGGACCTGGTCGTGCTGGCAATCCTGGAACTGAAGGTGGGGAAGGAAGAATTCCAGGTGGATGCCAAACTGAAGGATAAGGTTGTCCTGGATGTGGATTTGGGGGTATCTCTGATTCTGGCGTTTCCGGAAGATAAAGACTTCCAGATGGATGCCAAACTAGAGGTTCTGGCTGTCCTGGAGATGAATTCGGCTGTTTCACTGATCCTGGAGGTGCTGGTAATCCTGGAACTGAAAATGGGGCAGGAAGAGTTCCAAGTGTAAGCCAATCTGGAGGATCAGGTTGTCCTGGAAGTGGATTGGAAGGTATCACTAATCCTGGAGGTGCAGGCAATCCTGGAACTGAAGGTGGGGCAGGAAGAGTTCCAAGTGTAAGCCAATCTGGAGGATCAGGTTGTCCTGGAAGTGGATTGGTAGGTATCACTAATCCTGGAGGTGCAGGCAATCCTGCAATTGAAGGTGGGGCAGGAAAAGTTCCAAGTGTAAGCCAATCTGGAGGTTTAGGTTGTCCTGGAAGTGGATTTGGGGGTATCACTGATAAAGGGGGTGGAGGCCATCCTGAATTTGAAGGTGGGGAAGCGATAGTTCTAGGTGGATTCCAAACTGGAAGTGCAGGTCCTCCTGGAAGTGATCCTGATGGTGCAGGCAATCCATGAAGTGAGGGTAAGAGAAACAGACTTCCAGGTGGAATTAGATCTTTCACTTCTGTGACAGGCCATTTTGAAACTTGGGGAAACAGATTTCCAGGTGGACCCCAAACTGGCGGTGCGGGATGTCCTGTAAGTTGATATGGGGAAAATAATGGCAATGCTGGAACTTGGTTTGGCGCAATCAAAAGTGGTCCATCAATGGGTTTCCATGGTGGATACCATGGACTTTGGATATGACACGGATATCCTTTATTTGGATTTGTGAGACTATCTGGAGCTATGTGTTTTGGAAATGGATAGACACACGGATTGAGGACTGGCATCTGCCCATGTCCAGCAATGCTCTTTGGGATGGTTGGATATGTTCCATTGGTTGGTAAAGGAACTATGATGTTCGTTTGGTTACCAATAGTGCAATTCAGCATCAAAGTAATTTTCCCATTTCCTGTCGTATAATATTGATTTAAAGGAGTGCAAGCTGAAAAGAAAATGTTAGATTTGTAGTTTGGTTTTGGGATTTGGTATAAGATTTGGATTACGTGTGGGGTATTGGACACGGTTGGTAGTCTGTATCATCCTATAATATCCTTCAAGTAGATTTTGATTATATTGCATTTTCATCTCCTCCTTGGTTGGTAAACCATCTGTAATCCGTCTGGGACGTCTACCTGTAAGACGGGGAGTTGGTGGAGGTGGTGGGGGAGGTGGAGTTGGAGGCGGTGGAGGAGGCGGAGGGGGAGGCGGTGGAGGTGGTGGTGGTGGTGGAGGTGGACGGGGTCGAGGAGGAGGAGGACGAGGAGGAGGAGGCGGAGGAGGAGGAGGAGGAGGAGGTGGAGGAGGAGGAGGAGGAGGAGGAGGAGGAGGAGGAGGAGGAGGAGGTGGAGGGTAATAAGGAGGGTAATAAGGAGGGTAAAAGGAAGGGTAATGATAACATGGTCTAACAGGACATGGATTATAAGGTAGATAGGAAATAAAGGAATAAGGAGAAGGTGTATTGGTAATGGGACGTCTTCTTCTTCTAAATATGCCTAAACCAACATAGCGGCCAGAACCGAGATAGCGGCCATAACCGGCAAAGCGGCCAAAACCGCCAAGGCGGCTAAGGGTGCGGGTCATTTGGAAATGACGATACATTTCATTCGGACAGTCGGTTTCCAGCATTTGCTTCAAAAGCATGAACTGCTTTTTTGTGCTCTGCAGTAGAGAAGATCCATCATCCTGATTATTCAAGCTCTGAGTTACAGTTTTGGCCGAGTCTGTGGAAAAAGCGAGTTACTTGTATATATAAAACAATATATTTACCAAGGTCACCTTCTACTTGAATCGAACTTTAAATTTAGAATAGTTAAAAAATTAGTAAACGAAGCGATCAAAGAAATTAATAAAACAAACCCATTGGCACATGACTGCTGATGAATGAAGAGGGATTTTTGGTGTGCTTCTAGTTCTAGTACCAACAAGTCGATTTGTTCGAAGAACTTCGTAAATAACTGCTTCTCCTTAAAAAGATATGTTTAAGAAACCTTGTTGTATAGATTGAAATCTAAATGTAAATTTACCAATGAATCATTGTTTTTAAGACCGTGTCCACGGGGCACTAAATAAAATAATATTACGATGAAGTGCCATTTGCACATTTCGTGCAGTTTCTGTAAGTTCGATTAGCTAACTGACTAAAACACTAGCTTATTATGTTTTGCTTAAAAATTCAATTTGTCTGGTTTAATTTGAAACAAAATTGATTTTCCATATCTAACTTTTAAGTAATTTTTTTTCTGAAAACTAAATACATTATAATATCTAATTAGCAATAATAAAGTCATTTCGAAATTGGTAAGTAACTAGGCTTCTTACTACTGACAATGTTTTTTAATGATATTTAAATTTGCAAAGCTTGACAAAATTCTCTACCGTTCTTTATATTTATATTTTAAAATACTATAAATACAAATATTAATAAGAAATAAAAATATTCCCCATTCTTTTATTTTCTTGTTACAAACGTTTTAATGGTTTTTTGTTAGTATTATAGGATACATTTTTCTATTGATAAGAATTTTTAAGCACAATGAAATGCGATTCAATAGATTTCACTTTTAAATTGTAGGCCATTTTCTCAGTTTATCATAAATCCGTTAACACTATTGTCAATGATCAAATGTCAAAAAAATTAGTTCTACCAGCCAAGACAAACAATAAAGTTTTCCGACTTATCCCAATCGGATATCTTGCATTTCCTTAGGTCACGGGCTGCTGCGTAACAAAAATTTGGTGGGACGAACTTTAAATATCTCTAAGCTAGTAGCGTCGTTTAAGTAGCTCGTAGAACGGTCGAAAACAGTTCAGTTTAACAATAATAACAAGAAATGACTGTTTGGTTTTTATTGAATATAAACTGTTTTTATAAATTATGGGGAAACTCATGGAGGTCTTACGACAAAATTGTTAGGTTTCAACAAGGATAATGTATAGAACCCTATACTAATTTTCTATAAAAATTAAAAATGCCGATTTTCAGAAAACCGATATTGCATTTTTTTTTATGTTTGGACTATAAGTTGAATGGGAATAATTTGTATCTGAAAGGTTGGTAAAATAATAATTAACGACTAATTTTTTTACACCATGTAATTTAAAGTTATACATAAACCTTTTCTTATTTTTTTTTTAAATCCTAGGTATATAAATGGAACAATTTCGTGATAGAAATATGAAATCGTTTTGAGACCATAAAGAAAATCTCTATACGTTTCACAAGGAATCACTCATATTTATATCCTCCTCTGGAAGAAAAGGCCAATCATAAGGTCATTCATTTAAAAAGGTGACTTCTAGCGTTTGGCTTGGTATTTTATTTTAGCGATGATGAACTGGGTTTGGTGGAGCATTTCGTGCTAAAAAGTTCTTTCATTATCTTAATTTTTTCTTGTGCTTCCTTCAGTAATGTATATCCATTTTCCTGCAAGTTCGAGCCTTTACTTACATTATCGCCAGAGGCTGCCAACATGTATATAAAAATATTATTTTTAATAAGACGATATATATTTACCAACCAGACCTTTTGTTTGAAGCAAGCTTTAAATATACTAATTAATTTGATAGTCGAAAAAAAAATATTGTTATCAAACCTTTTGTTACAATTATTTTCATGATTGGGAATATTTCTTTGATTTTGTTCTAGATCCAGGAAAACCTTGTCCATTTCTTCAAAAACTTTCGATGCCAAAAACTTTGGAGAGCTTTCAAATAATTTACGGTCTTTCAGTGGATTTAAATTAAACTCACAGTGGAAACTTTATTTCCTATAGCTTGCCCAGGTGGTACTAAAAAAAGTATTATAATAATTTGGTTCCACTTCTCCATTTTGTAATCCGTTTTCTACTGCAAGAACTGAAATGATACGAAAAAGTACATTTTATTTGGATCTTGGTAAGAATTGGCATTTAACCGATAGATTAGTGGAACGAATGGATTACAGAATATTATCTAAAGCTCTGAAGATTGAGTTTAGACAGTGTTGAGTATAAGGAGTGTACTTTAAGAAAATGTGAAAGATATCGATTTTAAAAGTAAGCAGTAATGCACCCAAAAAAGATGATTATTTATATGCTGCAATATAAATATTTTGATATAAAAACGATGCTAATTTAAAATATTTTTCCTACTCATATTGGTTCTAGCTTCGTATTTCTTATGCATTTCTAATATCAACCATTTTTATATCAGTTACTCGTAAAGTATTGACACTGAGATCTTGGATGCTATAAAAGCTAGAATATTGGGATTAGGCATGCAGATTCTCGAGATTCTTGCGCAGCTCAAGGTTATTTTAACGTTTATTTAAAATATATATATGTTTTGTTTTTAATCATTATTATTTATTTATTTAAACCTGAATGGTATAGTAATTTCTGAACCACTGTGCAACAATTTTGCAAAGCTGGAGCACCGTGAAGAGTTTATTAAAAGCCACGACAACAGCGACTATTCCCTGCACAAAATCCTTTGTAAGGTAATTGCTCATTTGAGTTATAAACACGCACACATGCGCTGTTGGGCCGCCAGAAGGCCAGAACACCAGAACACCAGAACCCCCTGGATTCCCCAGATCTCCCCCAGATCCGCAGATGGCAATCGAGGCTGCCCAGAAAGGGCTGGGCCGTGGATGGTGAATGGTGGATTGTGGCCAACGTCCCCGCTTTGCATGTCTAACAATTGTTCTTCTAATTGCGTTTATGGCCAGGCGAGAGAACTGGCCAAGGCCCCCGGTGCCTTGTAAACGCAATCGGACAAGATAATCTCGGCATCGCAGCGTGCGCAATGATTTGCCGGGGCCCCAAAAAGGGCTTACCCCATGGTCATGGTCGCTCCCCATCCTCACCAGCTTCCTCCAGTCTTCCCCAGCAAACTCCCACTGCCTCCTGCCTATGTATATATATGCAACATGGCATGTGGCTCGCATTTGGTTGCAACAAATTGCCGCAACGCATCTGCCAGACACTGAATTGAGTTGAGTCCCTCAAATTGGCACTGGCATTGGGGGAGAAATGCGTTACATATCGCATTTATGGGCTGCTTATTAAGTGGTGCAACAAATTGACAGCTCCAAAGAGCCTCCAGAGCTCCAGAGTTTCAACATCAATTACCCTTGGTGATTCGCAGAAGAAACCGAATGGCGATAGCCGACCAACACTTCATTAAAAGTAAATAAGGTGTCCATGAGATTTTGTGATAAGTCGGCGATCGAGGGTGTTGTTTTGCCCATAGAATAGCTGTCAGACTAGAGAGTTGATCAAAGTTCAGCGTATAAGGGCAAGGCCTTTGGGTTCTGGTCCTTAGTCGGGGAATCATATAATTGTTAGTTAATGATTGGGAAAAGATTAAGTCTAGAAGAGCAACATCTTTCTATTTATTAGTTTTAATCAATTAAAATATAATAAAAGCTGAAGAATTCAATTGCTATATTACAAAAAATAAATAAAATCAAAAACAAATTATTATTTATTATAATATTTTCTAAAAATATATTGAACTATCAAAAATACTCTACTTTTATATCTCTTTTTTAAAGCACAAAATAATTTAAAATTTATTTTGTTCTTTTTTTTACAGATGTTATACTATAAAATATTTCGTAGCCTGGTTTCAAAAACCTTGATTTTCGGATTCAAGTGCCCTGATATGTAGAAGTAGCGCAATATCATCTGATGCTCACCTATGAAAGCCCTCGACAGTTCCTAAGCCCGAGGTAAAGGCAGCAAATAGTTCGTGCAATTGCCAGTTATGGCCGAGAGTGCAGAAATACAAAAAGAAGGCTCGCGTCAAATGCTGCAGTGCAGAGAGACAAGGCGAATAGCCTCCAGATGTGGACCGCAGGTTACAATAACAATCTGAAAGGGAAGGCTGGGGATGGGGCATGTGTTTGTGGCAAAATTGAAGCCCAGCTCGTTCTCTAATGATAACTGCTGGAACTTTAAAGGCGCGAGATTGCGGAAATTTCGCGACTGCCTGCGGATGGCTCTGCGGCTCTGGAACTTCGCAACGACAACGACGACAAGTGTCAAGTGAAGCTTAGATAAATTTCAAAAAGGGCAACAACATGGGCCGGTCCGTGAGGAGGAAGCAGGCGACGATTGCTGGCCAGCTGGCAAGGAACATTTACACGATAAGAAATTTTACTAAGAACTTTTTAGCTTTCAAATCTATCGACAAAAAATGTTTTTGCAAAAGGTAAATCCATTTAAAACCCCATGTTTTTCAAACTTAAAGTTTTCTCAAATACTCGTATTACCCTTTCATATTTAAATATTTCATGTCAGTTATGGTCATATGACACTTGCTTAAATGTCTACTAAGCGACTGAACTTATTATAATACTTCGTGAAAACAAAGAAAAGGCGTCTATAGCTTGAAGACATTTTATTAACTTATATAAAGATATATAGATATAAAGACCAAAACAAACCTGTCATATTACTGCCTTAAGGCAAATTTAAATATTTGTTAGATTATAATTTATATATATATTTATATTGTAATTATTAAAGAGTCATTTAAGTTTCAATATATTGCATTAGGTCTATGAGTAAGAGAAGGGTTTTCTCTGAAAATTGTACAAGAGAAATAGTTCTTGATGATGCATTGAGTTGTTTCTTATCTTTTTGGTAAATATTTTTCCAAGTGTTAGGTTGAAGTGTCTTGGAATGAAATGAAATGGCCGGAGACGAGGCCAGGCCTCACCTTGCCATGCCGCACAAGTAGCCAGCAGGCAGGCGGAGCTGCATCCTCTGGGCCTCATCTTCATCCCAGTCCCCAGTCTGTAGTCCCCATCCCGATCCCCATCCGCATCCCCATCGCCATTCCCATTCCCATCCTCAAACCTCCTTCAAATCGACTGAGTGGCATGCCATGACTGCCTCCGCTTCCTGCTTGTTCTGCTCGTATTTGAACTTCCAGACACGCTTTTGGCCCTTAACATTTTTGACCGTCATTTTGCCGATATAAATTCTTCAGCATCTGCTGATGTGGCTGTGGATGGGGTCGGGGATGCTGATGTTCTTTTCTTTCACTCTGGTGAAGAGGGAAACCGCTTCGGGTTGCACTTTCTTCGTCGTGCCAGCAAAAGTGTAGATCAGCGCGAAATCTAATTTATGCAATGTACAAGAACATACAACACGATGTTGCACGATGATGAAAATGCGGCAGCCAGCCAGCAATATTTTTTATTAAAAAAGAAAAAAAAATGATAAAAGAAAAAAAAAGGAGAACCAAGAGCAGCGGCAAGACAATCGAGCAACGACAACAACGACGCATGTTTTATGACTCTCATTGTCATTTATGCAAATTAGGAGTATCTTCTGCAGGAGCCACAAAGAGCCGAAGAGCCACAAAAGCCGATCCATGGCCACTTCTGCTTAGAAGAAGCGGCGCAAATTTCCCACCAAACCCAGCCTTGTGGTTGCCTCGTGGCCTGAACTTTTTGTGTCATGGCCTAGGAGGCAGCAGGATCCCTAAAAGCCCCCCCCCCATTCCATGAGCGCCCGATGATTATGAGCAACATGTTTTATGATATCTGGCGGTGATTTATTATCATTTGATTTAAAAAGCAGTGGACAGGACACACATCAATACATGTGGCTGGTCATAGTCTCGTGGAGACATGGCGTTATTTATAGTTTTGGCCGGGACCTTCGCCGGCCAATGGGTAATGGTTGGGGTTCCAGGGGTCTAGGGGTTCCAGGGTTCCTGGTCCCAGATCCCAGATCCGAGGTTCCTAGCCGCATTTCATGCTTATTACAGAAATGTGCACTTTTATGAGCACGCCCAGCATGTTAAAGGTGGAGAGAGCCTTTTGGCGATTTTAATTAGCCAACCAAGCCAGCCGGCTGATCTTATTTCGCCATGAGAACCACTGGGCAGCTAATTAGTTTCATGCTGCGATCGTATTTGGAACAGTTACACTTGAATGGTATGGGTGTACGTCTAATTAGCTTTAGGGGAGTTCGGCCATCCTATATCCTATGGTAAAGTATTTGAAGTCTAGTCTAGACTGAAAGCCATTATGGCAGGCTTGTAGTTGGCTGTAAAAATCGGTTTGAAAAAGGTTTAGAAAGTACACAGAATATCAGTTAACAAGGATCGTAATATAAGAACATTGGTTTTCTTAACCAACAAACTAACTAACAGGTCATTAGTTATTGTCGAATATCAATCAGACATTCAGCTACTTACAAAATTCTCTGCATACTTTCAGGATTAAAGGAATTAAAATAATCAAACAAGGTGTTTATTATAACGATATAATCAATACGTTTATAAATTCAATAGATAATGCCTTATTAATATGCCTTACGAACGTAGGAAGTACAATTTAAGCTTGTTAATATAAACATATCTTCCATTAATAGACTTTAACGACGACTCCCTGGTCAGGTTTACGATGTCCATTAGACACCTGAAGAGACCTATGTTTAATGTTAGCTAAAAACTAGAAATCGTGTAGACGAAACTATTCAAATGAAGATTATCAAACGAATGAAACAACTAAATCAACTGAGATCTGCAAGCTATTCTACATTTTTATGCCCCTCGTGCTGGCGATTCTCGAGTTTTACGACTTGTTGGTCTTGTCGAACCTTTTTCTTCGAATTTTAATGGCCCCTAACATAAAAGCTAATACCAGGGAGACCAGCCCTCATTAGGCCGCTGATTAGTCAGGATTTTCAGATCTTGGCTGGTATTATGGCATTATGGGCGGTTTTAGGAGCAGCAGAAGACTTGGCCCAGTCCCACTCGCAGGCCAATTAGTTTGGAAACCTTAGACGAGTTCTAGTTCTGATTAGAATTACTTTTCCACTGCAATTGCCCGCTGTAAACCAACCC